TATGCACCTATAGAAAGTGAATTCGCGACTGCTTACATGGAAGACGATTACTGTGACCATTACTTAATTAATTATCAAATATTACCTTGCGCGGTCACCCAAATGGTATATTACGCTAGATACAATAGTTTTCTGAGTGTGTTGTCTTTTTCCATAAACTCCACAATTCAAAATAAGGTAAATCAATAACGTTTAATTGAGGAAGGAGTGAGGCAAAATATGACCAGAGAAGTGAAATACTGCAAAAAAAAACAACAGAAGATGAGTAGAATTGGCAGCTTTGCAGTTCCTTAATTTGTAGTTGATTCAGTAGTGAGCATAAAAGCTTAACAAGTACACGCGGAGCTCAAAGGAGAAAGTTCCGCACACATAGTGATCGGTTCTAAATTTCTCAACCATTGCCCCCAACAATAGTTTCCATACCCGAGTTAAAATAACTCGCGAGTTTGCAGATTTCCTCACATCCAGACACCTTCAACACCTACTGACGACTGTGTCTGCCTCATCAGAACAGCAAGACCGAATGGGTCAGCAGTGAAAATAAGACCATCATCTCATCAACCAAATTTGCATGACAGTAACCGAGAATATAGAGAAGATTTATACCTCATAAAATTGAATTCATCCCCAATATATACTTTTCAAGTATTGGAGAAATAAGAAATCAACGGAGTCATTGAGTCTAGCTAATAGAGAGGGGGTGGTGGAATTTGAGTGTTTCACCAGAAAGGTACTATGATGATAGTCTCTACCACCCAATATGCAAGTAGTAAAAAGGTTTCCTAAGTGGAATTGGGAAGTATCAACAGCCCATAGAACATAATTAACTAACACTTTAGACAGAATTGGTGGTTAAGACCCCCCCCCCCAAAAAAAAAATCGAAACAGGTTTTCACATTAGAGCTGAATAGTAAAGCATGAATTTTATAATCCAACTACTTCTCAATTAAGTTACTCAATGCAATTTAGTAAAGTGAACTTCATAGAAAATTTTCTTACTTGTGCCGAACAGTCGATGATGTGTCTCCTCCCAAATGCACAAAAAGATTCGAGTTAAGCAATGCACGATCCAAATCCGAGAAACCTTTCACCAGGACATCCTTAGACACTTGTCCGGAGGCATCAGACACGTAGAAACGGTAGTCTACTCGAACTGGGAGAGCAGTGTACCGACGTGTCTCCGAATCACCACCTAAAGCGGCAGCAACAACCTGGTGTTGAGCGTCAAGACTTCGTTGTTCGTCTGCAGCATTGAAATAGAGGGATTGCTTGAGACTCTCTATATCCACTTTAGATAACTTTGGATCGAGGCTTAGGACAACCACCTGTAAGATCAAATTTATACGCAAAAAAAAACTCCACTCATTGTTTTCAGATATTATAGTTTTAATTCTGTGTAGTTCAGAAATTGGAAGTAGGATAAGCAATCGATCTCACTTGTAACAGACTTAGATGATCACTTCATATCACTTGTACACCATTTAAAGATTCTTGATACAACATTAAATCTTCTCTATTCACATTTTAGACCACACTTCACATAGTAAAATTCAATCTTTGATATTAGAACTATATGAGAAATGCTTGTCTAAGGACTATAATAATACTTCTTCCTTTAAAGAGATAAGTTTTGCAAAACCCTTTTTAGATTGACTTGAAGGGTATTATTCTCATCTGTATTCTGTATCATACCAATCGAATTGATTACACGCTAGGTCATCGTTATAATTTGATTGAAAGTGACAAGTAAAATCAGAGAAACACGAGAACATAGCTACTTATAAGTTGAGCAGTAAAACTGATTTCTAAACGGAGTTCAGATAGATAATTAGGAGATGTGGGCTTGCTAAAAGACGAAAAAGCTTTAAAATACAGGACGGGTTTTATTCTTTACTATACTACCAGAAAAATGTCTAAGACCGGAGCTTTTTTTATCCAACAAACCGTAATCACTTACATCAACACCAACAGTGATTGCCTGTGAAGCAATAACAGCAATCTTCTCCGTAGGTAGACCATGTTGTTCAGGCGAAGTGGTATACCACCACAGTGGAAGTCCAATCACCACTGAAACAAGAACGTAAAAAAGCGCTATGCTGTGAAACCACTGACGCTCATGTCGTGTCGGCATAAGGGCTTCCAGTTCAGCCCTCTCCAACTCCGCTTTGGACTTCTCTCCAGCTGCTTCCGCTGCCTGGAATGACAAGAGACAAAAGATGCAAAGATAAAATTACATCAAAAATAATTCGCCGACTTCTACAACATACCAATCGCAGCGTCCCAGAAAGACTAGCATGACAAAACTGGAGAATAATAAATGATTCAATGGCAAGGAAATCGCAATTAGATAAAGCACTCTAGTAATTAAATGCAAATAGGAACCCTTCAGAACAAAGTGAAACCAACTGTGAGAGATTTATTCTATGGTCTCGAGGCAAATAGGAGAAACGATTCAAATAGTGATAAATCAATAATGTAATCATCAGCATGATCAACAGGACAAAAATCCTAATGAAAGTAAGTTACCTAAGAAGAGAAGATCCAGAATAAGAACATTCTACACAAAACGTCCGTCAGACAGACCAGCTCTCCATTAAAAAATGTTGTAACACCTTCTCAATGAAAAATATGTGGGGTTAGAGATTAGTAGATAGCACGCAGTGTTGAGATAACCGTAGTTAAGTAATAACTGAACTTAGGTAGCTAATAGTAAAAAAAGCAACAATTGGTGAATCGCTGAGAGATTCACTCATTTTAGAGCCAACTACACCTAATAAGAGCGTATATTTATGCCAATAAATGAGAAAACACCCATTATAAACCCCAGTTGATTAAAATTAGTAAAGAGGCATAGAGACGAAGACTCAACGAAGAAAACAAAGCAGGGAAGCATTGATTAACAAACGTAACAAAGCAGAAAAGTAGGAAATGGAAAAGAAAACTTTTATTTTACTGATCACTAATTTAATTTACAAAAAAAAATTTATACAGGTTTACTGATCTGAGTAAGTTCCATAAGCCTAGAGAGGGTCTGATTCTCTTCCTCAGTTTGATGACTCGGTTCCTCAGGTACTGTCGAGGATGTAACATTAGCACCACCAGCAGCAGCAGCAGTACGGGCTTTTCGACAGACGTCCAAATAGGCTGCTGAAATAGGTGGTTGAACTGGTTCATGAGGTGTGTAGTCATCTCCAAGCTCATAGCAGGAATCCGCATCATAACCGGAGAGATCACCGCATGCCACAAAAGGCAAGATGATTCGTTGTTCCCGATTAAGCTATGCAAAAATAAAGACAGTGGGATTATGCCAAAAAGGACTGAACTCGTGAGTAACGAGAAAGGTAGAGTATGTCCTACATGAATAAAGAGTCGAGCTTCCTACGATTTGCTTCTTTTCTGCATTTTAGGGTAAATGTTAAAAACTGCCAAGTGATTAAATCAGAACAGAAATGAAGTTTAACTATTCCGACGAACACAAGAGTCTAACTGTGAAAGAATAGTTAAGGAGGGTAGCGGAACTGCATAAAAGGAACTATACAGTATGCTTCATGATAAACTATCATATAACAGAAACAAAAGTTGAATGATTCGATTTTCACGATTGAACCATAAACGTGATAAAAAACGCGCAAGTTTTGTTACTAGAGTCAAAAGAATGGCAATTAGGATTCCGGCACATTTATCGCATAACCAAGAATTGAAGACGTCTAAGAAGATCTATCATACCAGTGAATAAAGCTAATTAACACTGGCATTGAATACTTATATCTGTACAATTCATGAACCAAGTGGTGAACGCACACTAGGTGTGAATGAGTATTTACAGAAAATAAGTTGCATTAGTAACAGAAACTGCTCATGAGCAAATAGAGGTTGTATTAACCAATTTGTAAAAAGCAGTGACTAGCACACCAATCGTTGGATTAAAGAGGATTACTCGCGTTATTGAATTTCAAAAATGAACATGACGAAAAGGAAATAATAAAACGCTAAATGTTAAATGCATTTGCCTTAAAATATAAACCGCCAAAACACAATTAAACAACCCATTTCCATTCTTTACCAAATTGGAAGCCTTTTTTAGTAAAAACCATATTTTGTTTAATATCGAGGTTGCTCAAAGAGAAATTAAGCTGTTTTACTTCGAAATGGGGAATTCGAATTTAAAATGATTCTAAATTAGCATGGAGAAAATGATTGCTTACCTGCTCCAAATCATTCAGCCATCCCATAAGCGAATCCACTGAATTATCATTAGATGCATTTCCCACAGTTGCAGTACTGACCAAGGAAGGGGGAAGAATAGAATCTCCCCGAAAGTTCCTGCAAACTACGAATGATTCAAGACTGGAGTTTCGACTGGAACTTGGCTTAGCAAAGACAACGTCTCCTGCGAAAAGACATCTCAACTGGGCACCCAATAAACCAGCCTCCCGTCCCCGAAATACCTTGGCAACGAAAGTACCACCATTTTCAAGAATTCGGGCGCAGATTGTAAGTGCAGCGAGAACCAGGTGAGACTGAACATATTCATCCAAATCATGAAGACCGGTAACTTAATGAAAAATAAATGAGTCTGACTAAAAAAAATGCATACCATCAGGAGCACCATCGCAAACAACAAGTTGGGCCTTTTTCCCTTCAAATTGTTGGATTATACGATCAGCCGTTTCTCGACTTGTGATATCTCCTTGAAGTTGTATAACGCCAGGAATTAGCGCCATTGCTTGTAAATCAACAGCAACGATTTTAACGTCCTGCCGATCCACTTCTGAACGAGGTTCCCAAATTCGCTTGGAAAGAACTTGCGACCAACTTCCAGGAGCTGCGCAAAGGTCCACAACACGAGTTAGATTATTTCCATTATCTTCAAAAGAAGCAAATATGACGTTAAACTGACTACAGATAATTATTTTAAAATGCAATTTGAGAAACCAAGTATCTTACGGTCTTTCGATAGAATATTAAATTCGTCATCAATTTGTAAAAGCTTATAGGCACTTCTAGCTCTCCAACCTTGTTCTTTAGCTAAACGATAGAATATATCTCGCTTATCGCGAGAACACTTCCCCATGGCGAGTAAAAAATAGCAGCCTAGTAGGTTTGTATTGCGTAAACTTTTGAGGGCTTTTGATAGCACGCTAAAATTAAAATAATATAATTATAGAACATTTATAATTAATGGAGCTGATTTTATTCTTATTTTTTTAGCATATTTAAATTTATTTATTTCTAAAAAAGATATAAATAAAACATCGTTAGCTGTCTTTATATCATAAATTATAATAAAATATTTTTAGTTCTGTTGTTAAAAGTGGTTGTGGTTGTTTTATATACTTATCGTTTACTCCCCAGAAGGCACTCACCTTCAAACTCTCACACGCCTGATTTGTGTCAGTGCTTATCTGGTTTGTGTACCCTCTTTATTATTTTGCGTTATTGTTCCTTCTTGCTTTACCCTTATAACGAAACTAGTAAACGATGTTCAGGCTCTCTGTTAGGGCTACTTATTTTGTATGACCATAATATTTAATTCACGTGTTTTGTGTTTTTTATTAATTTGTAAATTTTTTGTCTCATTTTATAAGTATTCCTTTATATCATGGCACAAGTCTATTGACGAACTCTAATGGCTTTGTGTTCTTTTCCTTATTTTACAGCTTGATTATGGCGGATGCAAAGAAAGTTATTCTTGTTACTGGGGGTTCAGGTCTTGTTGGACAGGGAATTCGACTTGCCTTGGAGGAGCATTCGCTGAAACAACCCAACGAGGAATGGATTTTTGCATCCTCCAAGGATCTCAATCTCTGTAGTGCCGATGAAACCAATGCTTTCTTTGAACGTGTTAATCCAACGCATGTTATTCATCTAGCAGCAAAAGTCGGCGGTCTCTTCGCTAACATGAGTGACAATCTCGGCTTCTTCGTGAGTCTCATCATTTTCTTTTCGCTATATTGATATTTCTGTTTTTACAAAAGAATGAACTGCTTTTAGTTTAGAAGCCACTCTGAATTCTGTCCCCTTCGCTGAAATAAATTTTGCTATCAAGATTACTGGAACTCACTTTGGAATTTATGGAAAATGTGTGTTTACTATTCTAATACCAATCACGACTGCTTAGTATTGGTTAAAC